TTAATATAATATTTTTAATTACTTTTATTTGATACCACACATAGCAGCAAGACAAGGGTACAAGAGTATTGCCTTACCTTTAAAGCACGAACTTTCTTTGCCAGCAGGCTTTCAATATCTCCCGCCACTTTCTCCACTAGCTTCCTGGGGACGTTCTCCTTGACTTCAAAGAGGTTCCTGTTCTCATTGTAGATCTATAAAGGGAAGAGGAAAAGAGGGGGTCACTGCCAAAGAGATACCCTGAGAAATGCAGACTTTCCAGGAAAAGGATGGCCCAGCCACCAAGTACCAAGGAAATTCACTGAGTAAAAATAAGGTCAGGTAAGGATGTAGGCTTTGGGATTTGGGGGGAGGGGGAAAATAGAGGGCTCGACAGCGAAAGGCCTAGGTAAGAACAGTTTGCTGCCCCAATGATCTAGGCTTTCCAACCTTTCCCCTTTATGTATGCAGACAGCCAATGCTCCACCCCTACCTAAGGCACTACCCACCCACTCTTCGGTTGACCCAAAAACGTCAACAGAACACAGTCAGGGTCTTTCAAGTTCCTTCTCATATCTTGCCAGTCAGAAAAATCTCCCTGGCTTTAGTAACACCACTCTCCAGATCTCCCAAAGTCAACTGTCAGATCAGGCAATGGCAAGACTAGCTCACTGCTCCTCACAGTGCACATAATTCAGTAAGCACTTGGGCTGGCAGCTGATGATGCATGGCAGTGCAGACTAACACAGAGCTACTGGTTAGTGGGCCAGGGATCCCACTCTCATTAGGACATATTTATCCCCTTAAGCCTTACTATATTTCTGGTGTATGTTTGGGGGGGAGGAGGGGAGGTAAGCCAGACCCAGACACAGTCTCCCAAACAAAACTGGAAGTCCCACTGTCCTAGGCAACATGGAACTCACACATTAAAACAGAAATGAAGTGCTCTTCCCTGCCGCCCTCCTCCTCTCCTTCGGTGAGGCTACAGGCTCTCTGGGACAGAAGCCTTACCACCACAACTGCCTGTAAAGCACCTTGCACATTGCTGGTGCTGTGTAAATGATCAGATGGTATTCTTGACCCCTTGGTCAGCAAAAATGACTACTCAGAACAGGGACTATTTCTCACTACATGTCCCCATGACACCTATGGCAATTGGGTCCTGATCTGGCTCGAGTCTGAGCAATACCATAATACAAACAGATAGCAGAAACAAAACCTAATAGGTCTTTGGGGACCTTTACAAAATGGGTTAGGAGCCTCAGACCAGCCCCCATCAGACAAAGATGCATATCACAAAAATTATCATAACAAGCCCAGTGTTAACCACCATTCAATCATTTAGAAATGTCTTGCCCTTTGAGAGGATAATGTCACAACCAACAACAACACTGTGGTAACACGGGCATAGCTAAGGTAATGAAATCTGGTGGTTCAGGACAGACACTGATCACCCTTGGCCTGGGAGACCAAGGCTCCCCACCCCATACAGGGCACTGCACCATTAGCTTGGTGCAGCACATGATAGAGTAAGGCAGGACTCCCACAAGATACAGGGCCCTAGCTAGCAAACGCCAGCAGGATACCAGAAAATGGGCCAGTGGTCTGGTAGCATAAGAAATGCTGTTGGCAGGAAGCAAACAGGAGGAAGCTTATGTTATCACTGCTTATGCAGCAGTTTATGTATAAATGGGACCCATGGTCTCCTGACATCTTGCACCAGCATTAAAGTGTCCTTGAAGACTGAAAAAAGACTTCTGTGCTGGATTTCAGCGTCATGAATACAGAGCAAGGAACATCTGACAAACTTGTGTCCACACCAGGCTAGCGAGGAGATAATACTCCATGTAGACTATATCCAACACAGATGTTGAAGGATTGACAAAACTAGAGATGTATCACTCAAAGGTATTCTGTATGCTTCCACCTAGGCAGCAGAGGAAAAGGATGCTGACATCCACCCCAAAGAAAATGCCAAGGATTATTTTATTTCTTCTTTCTCCACAAACCTTTGAGCTGGTACATGAAGTTGCTGCTTGGTGGAAAAAGGTTCCTTATCGTTTGGAGGCACGTGGAGATAACTTCAAGTACCTGAATTCTGATGTGCGTTGTCTCTCCCCATCCCCATGCTAGCTGTGACAAACTATTTCAGAAGCAGAGGACATGCATGCTGGCTTACAAGTAGGGCATGGTTTAAGTCATGGTCCCAACCTACTAATATCGTGCAGAGAACCAGATGTGCGGGCACATGGAGCTGGGCTCCTGGACAAAGTCTGCTCCAAGGCATGCGTACACCTGCTGGTATGGAGCTAATGCCGGAGAAGATGTTTGCAGCCTCCCAGCTACAGCCAGCCCAGGCTCTGGGTAGCTGCTGCCAACCACGGCAGGACTTGGAGCTGCCCAGCTGCCTGCTGGGAGCAGCCCAGGCTTCATGGCTGGCAGCAGCTGCCTAGGGCAGTGGTGTGCCGAGCAAAACAGCCTCCGTGCCATGCTCGGCACACGTGCCAGGGGTTGCTGACTCCTGATCTATCCTGCGAGACTCCCCACAGGTCCATGCTAGAAATATGGCAACAAGGGAGCAACAATTAGTTGCCATTGCTCCCCTACCACCACATTTGCAGACTGTGGAGAGTTCCCAGATCTAGACTCTGTTTGTATTCTCCATTCTGCACAAGCTCTTTCTGATGTGCCCAATTTCTTCTTGTGTGCTGCTGAAGGATACCTGAATGCTTCCCCATCTTGCTAACTTCTCATCCAGAAATAGCACTCTGAACACACCACTCCGCTATCAAACTAATGGAAGGGGACTCCTCCCACAGCTCCCTTAAAAATCAGGGCTTCATTCAAGTTACCCTAGCTGCTGACTTTCTCTGCAAATAGACTGACCCTCTCCTGACAGGCCAGTTAGTTGCATACTTATTAACAGAACCAGCACAGCAAAACTAACAAGCCTACTCTTAAGTACTTCAGAGCATTGAAGAGCTCTTACAAGTTCCAGTACATTCCTGGCTCACAAGAGTGGTGCCAGAGGGCCCAGACACCAGGTGTGTGCCCGTTCCTTCCAAGGCAGCCATATAGGTAGGTGTGAGATTTGCCTTCACTACTTCAGTTCACAGACATCCCTATATGCAATAGCAAGTCCCCTATATTCTCAGATTCAAGGCCCACTTGGTCTGCAGGGATGGGTGAGAGGCACTGCCCTAGGACAGTGATTCTCAGCTAGGATGCTGTGGCACCTTAGGGTGCCTTGAGATCCTTTCAAGGGTGTCACACAATGTTAGCACTGTTACACGTACAAACACGACTGCAAGATAAATCCACAGATTTCAAAGAGATATCCATAGCATTAAAAACTCCCATTAAAATCATCCTGACCTATTGGGATCCTTCTGAATTCTTTGCAACTGAAAAATTGCTCCTTTTTCCACAGTCAAAAAATGAGTAAAAAAAAAAAAAAAGAGCTGGCATTTTCGGAGTGGTGCTTGGAGTCTAATGAGCAGTGCCTCCAGACTAAAAATGTTGATAACCACTGTCCTAGACACTAACTCCTCTCACAATGGCTACTTCTGGGAGTCCATATTGGCCTTTCTGATTTTGAGGGGGTCCCACTCATTATAGTCTCAAAGCCACACTATATTCTACAGCAACTTAGTGTATCCCGATTTTTGATGTTGGAAATTGCTAACACCAGAAATGCAGATTTGTATGATTGGGTTAGAAAGAGAATTGTATGCAACAGCAGACTGCTCACACCTGCTCAGTATCTATGTCTTTTTTTCCTTTCTTTCTCTTTCTTTTTTCTTTTTATTTTTTTTACATGTTCTGTCACACATGCAGACTTAGGTATGTAGAAAAACATGTGCTGCTGATAACAATGGATGCTGCAAGGGTGGGGGAAATCCCACTAGGGAGCACAAAGGGTTAAGGAGAAAAAAATGGAATATAAATTATATTCTCTCATGCTTTTTTTTCCCCTTTGGTAAGCAACAGCATAACAAAATAATGCGTTTTGAAGGCATACTACCTCCAGCTGAGCTGCAGTAATTAGGGAAGCAAAAGAAGAGGAGCAATCTTCAAGGAGAAAGCTTTGGATAAAGAGGGCATCCTGACATTAGTATTTTCCTATTATGAACTAGCAAATCCGTTCCCACTGGTTCCAGCCAGAAATGGTACCTATCCACTGGGGAAACCCCCCCCCCCAAACCCCCATCAGGATATGATCCCCTACTTCTGCCATATACCCTCTTTAGCTGCAGAGCTCTGCAGGCTTATTGTCCAAACAGTTTTTCTAGGTTACTTAGAACAGTTCAATACAAATTGATAGTGACCACAATAATAATAATAAAGATATGTCAGACAGGTAGTGCTGCCTAGTATTAAGGTTACCTAGCACATCCCATTAAAAGACTATTTTTTTTAAGTCCTTACCTTCTTGCCATATTTTTAACCTTCTTTCTAGATGTGTGCCTAAGGCCAAATTGTTTTTGCAGAAATTTCATCCAAAGCAGTCTGGCTACTTACAGAATTAATCTGGGGAGCTGGGGGTGGGGTGGTGTTAGGGAGGCTGGGGGAAAGACACTTTGTTCTGCCCACATGACAATATTCTGGCAACCTTTTCTTCTGCTCCAGTGACCCCATACTTTGGAGCAGAGGCTCTAAATCTGGCAAGACGACTTGTTGCCATCCCTGTGAAAATCTGCTCCAATTTGGCAAAGCTATAAACCTATGACAAATACAACTGGCTCTAGCTCAAGGACTTCAACTGTAGCGGCTAAAATGCTTGTCCTCACTGAACAACCTCCATTGCCTTATGGTTCCTAGTGCCAACCAGACTTTGAGCTTTCCCATCCCACATAGTGACCGTGAATACTCCAGACCAGGGATGAAGCAGGATTTTTTCCTACAATATCTGTCTCAGCTGTGAGCCTCTGCTCCAAAGTATGGGGTCACTGGAGCAGAAGAAAAGGTTGCCAATATATTTTCATGTGGGCAGAACAACATATCTTTCCCCCAGCTTCCCTAACATCCCCCACCCCCAGCTCCCCAGATTCACTCCTGTAAGTAGCCAGACTGCTTTGGATGAAATTTCTGCAAAAACAATTCAGCCTTGGACACACATCTAGAAAGAAGGTTAAAAATATGGCAAGAAGGTAAGAACTAAAAAAAATAGTCTTTTAATGGGACGTGCTAGGTAACCTTAATACTAGGCAGCACT